TTTGGCATCAGGTAGATATTATGATGTAGGCATCCGCTAAGAAAGGATTTTACGATAGTCCACCCCTAAGGGGGCAAAACGGGATCCACGCGTACGAAGTCACGGGCGGCCTCTAGTATAGACATAAAAATAGATGAATGTTCAGAAAATACCTGTCAAGATCCGGACTTCATAGAGAGAGAAACCGTATAGCACATATTCCCGTACATGCCTCAATTACTTAACTTATGATCAATGCACCGATCTCTTCAGTTTAGGGCACTGACCTTTGAAGTGGTGTTTCTTCCAATGCTTAAACACACAGACCTTCTTTGCGGCAATAAAGTCGCATAAAGCACAACCGTACCACACCTCGCTGTGAAAATTGTCTTTGTGCGCTTGAAATAATTCTTTACTGTGAGACGAGAACGGACAATACTTGCACTTTCTCGTCTGCTCTTCAGTTTCCTTATAATGGTTCGCAATTTCCCCCAAATTCTTGCCACGGAACGCGCAATCTTTGCAGCGGTAAGCGTTATTTTTTTTATGTATGGATATATGACAGCGCAAACTTCGAATATTCGTTGTGTAGTAGCTGCAATAGGGACACTTGAATACTCTTTTGTTATTGTCATTTATTTTCCAGACCCAATGGAATTCTTTGTACCGTTCAAAGAAATCTTCTTTTGTGGTGGTGTACGTGCATTGTGAACATTTCAGTAAAGGTGGTATTGGATTTCTCTTCCTTTTCTTTGAGGCTGTGACTTTAAAAATGTTTGGCGCTTTATTGGGGACTGCAGCAATTGGCGCCAACACCACTTTTACAGGCGTTGATGTTCTGTAACAGTTCATGAAAGAAAAACATTGAACCATAGCAGTAAGTAGATAGTGGTCTAAGATTTGAATTGATGAGAATTAAGAAAGTTTCAATGACAAACTAATACCTAAAAAAATTAAATATCGAGACATTCCGTGACCTTAGAAAATATGAGACATTTTTAACTTTTAAAGCATCATTCATGAATCTTCTTTTGATGAAAACTGGGACTGCTAAAGAATTTTATTTTAGCTCTTTAGCTATGATAGCTTGTTAAGACTTCTAAAGCCCGGTCGCCGAGCACGTAGAATTTCGTCCAATGACCCCAAGCTACGCGCGACAGCAATATAATTACGCGCGAGCGATAAGGGTGGGTAGCTTGGGGTCATTGGACGAAATTCTACGTGCTCGGCGACCGGACACTAGGCAACAGAGCTAAAAGCATGTGTTATCTTTTCCAATATTATAAATTATAATAAATGAAGAGGTAAAGTTTGTAACTTACATCAAAATCGAGTCATTAGTTGATGGTACAGTCAAAAGAATAAATTGACTTTCTTCAAGTGAGAAGTTCACAAAATCTTTGTTAGAAGTTGTCAGCACAGTGTTGTTTGTAGCTGGCTGTGGATCATTACTTTGGTCAGCTATAGTTTGTTCCATATTTTGGTCGGCATCAGATTGCACATTATGTAGTTGGACAGAAAAAGGCTGTTCATTATTATTTTCTTCAGCAACAGGTTCTTTCTCGTAATTTTGTTCAGCCATAGGTAGTTCCTCATAAGTTTGTTCAGCAATAGGTTGTTCCTTATAATTTTGGTCAGCAATAGGTTGTTCCTTATAATTTTGGTCAGCAACAGGTTGTTCCTCATAATTTTTGCCAGTATTAGGCTGTTTATGATGTGATTCCTCATATTGGTTAGCTACAGGATGCTCATAATTTTGCTCAGAATTAGGCTGTCCATTGGATTGTAGGTCATAATACTGGTCAGGCAAAGTTTGTTCATCATTTACTTGCTCATAATTTTGATCAGCAACAGGTTGTTCATTATTTTGGTCAGCTATAATGGGTTGTTCATGTGCTTCCTCATAATATTCAGCAAAATGTTGTTCATTATATTGATCAGGAATAGTTCGTTGGTCATAATTTTCGTCAGCAATGGGTTGTTCATTATATTCTAGCTGATAATGGTCACCAACAGGTTGGTCATTATGTGCTTCTTCATAATGGTCAGCTACAGGTTGTTCACTATGTTGTTGATCATAATATTGGTCTACAATAGGCTGTTGCTCATAATTTTCGTCAGTTATAGGTTGTTCAACATATTCTTGTTCATAATTTTGGTCAAAAATGTGTTGTTGCTTATAATTTTGTTCAGCAACAAGTCGTTTATTTGGTTGTTGCTCATAATATTGTTCAGGCATAGGTTGTTCATTATAAACTTGCTTATAATTCTCGCCAGCAATAGGTTGTTTAACATGTTCTTGCTCATAATTTTGGTCAACAATATATTGTGGCTCATAATCTTGGTCAGAAACAGGTTTCTCATCATATTCTTGTTCATATTGATCAGCAGTACCTTGGTCAACATGTTGTTGCTCGTAATTTCGGTCAGTTATAGGTTTTTCATCATTTTGGTCAACTATAGACTGGTCATCATTTGCTTCCTCATAATAATCAGCAACAGGTTGTTCATAATATTGATCAGAAATAGGTTGTTGTTCATAATTTTCGTTAGCAATGGGTTGTTCATCATATTCTAGCTGATAATGGTCAGCAATAGGTTGTTTATTATACTGTTGATCATAATCTTGGTCGACTATAGGTTCTTCATCATATTCTTGTACATAATTTTGGCCAGCTACAGGTTGTTCACTATGTTGTTGATCATAATATTGGTCCGCAATAGGCTGTTGCTCATATTTTTCGTCAGCTATAGGTTGTTCGTCGTATACTCGCTTATAGTTTTGATCAGCAATAGGTTGTCCATCATATTCTTGTATATATTTGTGGTCAACAATATAATATTGGTCTGCAATAGGCTGCTCATAATTTTCGTCAGTTATAGGTTGGTCAGCAATACGTTGTTCATTTGGTTGTTGCTCATAATATTGTTCAGGCAAAGGTTGTTCATCATAAACTTGCTTATAATTTTCGCCAGCAATAGGTTGTTCAACATATTCTTGCTCATAATTTTGGTCAACAATATGTTGTTGTTCGTAATCTTGGTCAGCAACAGATTGTTCATCACATTCTTGTTCATATTGATCAGCAGTAACTTGGTCAATATGTTGTTGCTCGTTAGACATAAGATGTTCTTCATTATGTGCTTCCTCATAATATTCGGCAACAGGTTGTTCATAATATTGATCAGGAATAGATTGTTGATCATAATTTTCATCAGCAATTGGTTGTTCAATATATTCTTGCTCATAATTTTCATCAGCTATAGGTTGTTTCTCATATTCTTGCTCATTACGGTCAGCAACATGTTGTTTATCTTGTGCTTTTGCATAATAGTCAGTAACAGGTTGTTCATAATATTGATCAGGATTAGGTTGTTGTTCATAATTTTCGTCAGCAATAGATTGTTCATCACATTCTAGCTCATAATGTTCAGCAATTGGTTGTTCAATATGTTCTTGCTCATAGTTATCATCAGCTATAGGTTGTTCATCATATTCTTGCTCATAACGGTCACCAACAGGTTGGCCATTATGTACTTCTTCATAATAGTCAGCAACAGGATGCTCATAATATTGGTCTGCAATAGGCTGCAGCTCATAATTTTCGTTAACTATAGGTTGTTCATCATATTCTTGTTCATAATTTTGGTTAGCAATAGGTGGTTCATTGTGTTCTTGCTCATAATATTGGTCTACAATAGGTTGTTGCTCATAATTTTTGTCAGCTAAGGGTTTTTCCACATATTCTAGTTCATAATTTTCTTCAGTTTTAGGTTGTTCAATATATTCTTGTTCATATTTTTTATTAGTAACAGGTTGTTCATCATATTCATGCTCATATTGATCAGCACTAGCTTGGTCAATATGTTCTTGCTCGTAATTTCGGTCATCAATGGTTTGTTCAGCATGTTCTTGCTCAAAATATTGGTCATCAATTGGTTGCTCATAATTTTCGTTAGCTATAGGTTGTTCAACATATTCTTCCTCATAATTTTGTTCAGTAATAGATTGTTCAATATATTCATGTTCATAATTTTGTTCATTAATAGATTGTTCAATATATTCTTGCTCATATTGATCAGCACTAGCTTGGACAATATATTCTTGCGCGGAATTTTGGTCAGCAATAGTTTGTTCAGCATGTTCTTGCTCAAAATATTGGCCATCAATTGGTTGCTCATAATTTTCAGCAATAAGTTGTTCATTTGGTTCTTGCTCATAATTTTGGTCAGCTATAACTTGTTCATCATATTCATGTTCATAATTTTGGCCAGCAACAGGTTGTTCACCATATTCTTTTTCATATTGAGCAGCACTAGCTTGGTCAATATGTTCTCGAACGTAATTTCGGTCAGCTATAATTTGTTCATCATTACGTTCTTGCTCGTAATGGTCAGCTATAACTTGTTCATCATACTCTTGATTATAATTTTGGTCAACAATAGCTTGTTCATAATGTTGTTGATTGCAATCCTCATAACTTTGGGCAGAAATATGTTTCTCATCATAATTTCGGTCAGGCAAAGTTTGTTCATCATAATCTTGGTCAGAAAGAGTTATTTCTCTAAGTTGTTTTTCATAATATTGGTCAGCAATAGTTTTTTCATAAAAAACCTCAGGTACTTGTGGCTCATAAACGTATACAGCTGTCTGTGGATTACTATGATACTTCTGTAACTCATAATCTATGTTAGCAGTCACAAGGCCCAAGTCTTCTTCAGAAACTCGGTATATTCCAACTTCTAAGTCATACATCTTAAATTCCTGGGTTTTACAACGAAAACTTTTTATATTTACACTATACAAACAGAACAGTAAATAAAGCAATAAATTAACTAAATACAGTAGAATCTCGATTATCCGGACTTCGATTATCCGGATATCCGATTATCCGGACTCGTACTTCACGGCTCTAATTACCGATTTAAGACCTGGACCCATCACCACAGCACGGCACCGCCTCTGATACGGCTCGGCGCCGCCACCGTAACACGGTACGGACGTCGTCTTGGTTAATTGTTAAAAGAAATGGATTCACTCAATGGTCTAAATGTCGTTTGTAGACGTCGTCTTTTCTATAGTAAAAAGTTAATTATTATTTAATTTTACTTTGAAATCGATTATCCGGATTTTCGATTATCCGGAACACCCCTGGTTTTAATTGATCCGGATAATCGGGATTCTACTGTAATCATGAATTTCATTCATAAAATTAAATTTTTCGGTATATTTTTTCGCCGAATTATGCAACTGTCAATGTCATTTTTTTAACGTTCCATTCGACAGAACGTTCGGAGTCGTTTTCCATCTGTGGTCGTTTTCGACTGACTCGATTCGAATCCGAAAAATATTTGGTATGAGCGAAATACTGTTTCAAATCTATTTTTTTTAAACTCTCTTGTTAAACTTCGTCATTCCATTATTTTTTCCGGATCAATTTAACATCAGCGGTGTTGCTATGCTAATGAAATTCTACTATTTTAGTAGATTCTTGATAAAAATGTTCCAAGACGTCAAATAAAACAAACTCAAGTCATACGAAACAGTTTATTACAAAAAACAACAATTTATACACTAGAAGCTCTTTTAAGAGTAACTTAGTCCATAATATTTCAGTTATTCTATTAAATAAAAATACAATTAATATTAATTATTGGTTTTCTTAAACTTAAATTAAATTTTAATATTAATAAAGACAATAAACAACACAATTATTGCACACCGTCTTTTTATAAAAATCTCCTAAATTCAGTCATTCGTACAGTAATTCTAGCATTCTATTGCAGCCATCAACAGAAAATATCTTACAACACATAATATTAGAATAATTTTATAGTTTAATACTTTTTCAATAAATTGTTACTTAGCTTCAGTAACAATATTGCTGTCTCCATTAAACGTAATAATATTAGGTACTATTATTTTTTTATTAAAAAAAATGTATCTAAACGTCCCGAACTTCGCGAAGGGACAAGTTAAATAAGAAAGGAAAGGAAATAACAAAATTAATATCCTATTGGGTTAAGGGTTTTAAAAAGCTGCAGACATCAATTTATAAAAAAATATTACTTCAGTGTACTTAGTTATGATTGTGTCAACACCAAGAACATTCAATGTTTTATTAATAATATCCACCAAATTAAAATAAATATAAATATCCACCAAAGTTAAATTTAATTTAACAAAAAAATATTAACTTAGGGCTCGTTCCCACAGTCGTTGTGTGAACACATTTTTATGTGTGTTTGAATTTCTGGATTGTGCAAAAAAAAAACCTGCAAAAACTAGATATCTCCGTGAGAACAAGCTCTTATGCGCCATTAAAAATTTGTGTTTAGGTTAATTTTAACTAAAACTTCTTCAGAAGGATTCAGGGAATTTCTAGGCCACTGACGCCATTTTGGCAGCGGCGGCCGCGGCAGCGGCGGCTGCCTTCTTTTTGACAGCGAGGGCTGTCCGCTGTTTCGCTTGGATCTTCGCCTTTTGGCTCTTAGACAATTTTCGCTTCTTGTTTGCTTCGTTTACGGCTGCAAAAGAAGATTATGCTATTATTGGCAACATGAAGAATATATTTCTTATTATAATCATAGGTCACGGCAGTAGGAAGAATGTCTCTAAATTACCAGCGGAAAGTGGAGGATTTGGACGCCTACACTCCCCACAAAGCGGACCTCATGTATAGAGGTAGCAGAAAGGCGCTGGATGCAGGCCGCTACCAATCGGGCGATGTGGAAATCATTGGGGGAGGCCTATGTTCAGCAGTGGACGTCCTGTGGCCTAAATGATGATGATGATGATTCTCCACGCTCACCAGAAGGGTTGGAGAGGTCTGATGGTATTATTACAGTATTCTGTATTAGGTCGAGATTCTCACAATAAAGTTATTAACATTGCGTGGAATTTTTATTTTCACATTGCATGTTTCGTATTAAATGCAAAATATTTCAAAGTCAAACATTACATTGTTTACACAATAAAGTTGTATCATTAACCGTTAGCAATTTCAAACAGTTTCAAAAATAACACTGAAGAAAGCTAGTTGCTTTTTTTGAGTGAAAAAAATTTACACTTTTTTAAGACTATAATAGATATAGACTCAGTAGGCATGATTGTTCTTCTGACTTTTCTTCCCAGTTATTATTTGGCTACATCTAGATTGAAATTCCCTACACTAAGGCTGAGTTGCACTAACTTACTTTCACAGTAAGTTTAAAAATAACCGGGGCTCCTTAAAATTTTTTTTGACAGATTTTTGACGTTTGTTAAAGTCAAAGTAAGATGTGCAACTCAGCCTTATTAAAATATCCTACGCGATTAGTAATAGAATAGTATTATTACATGACTAATAATACCACCATAGGATGGTAGGTCTTTCAAAGTATGGAATGAGTCACGACGAGATTTCTAAATTATGTAGCTTAATTAAAAAAACAGATTTTTAAAAGCACAGGCTAGCACAGGATGATTTGGTACTGTCATCAAGGCTAGCAAAAAATCGTGCATAACTTCATTTAACTCGATTCATACGACGGTAACAAAGCCAACTGCATCTATTTCACTTGTGTCCGTCACTTGAATATTACACGAATATTAATATGAGTTTCTTTCAGAAATCTGGCGCTGGACCAAGTCCGCCGGAGTTGCCGCAATATTATAATAAATAGGTGTGAGACACATTTGATTCGGATTTAGAAACTAGTAAAGGTAGAGTGAGTAAAATTATCATTTTATGTTGCGTGTGTAGGTCATTCTCGTTGATTATGACGTCAATGTGATCTAATCTAACCCAAGTTCAAACTATTTCGTTGACAGTTTTAATTTTAGACAGAACAAAACAACGGTTATCTGTACTTCTTTTAGCCAGAAGTCGCGGGTTCGATTCCTATTAGAGAGCTTTTTTGCGTACCAAAAAAACTATTTCTCAAGTCAAAATAAAAAGTTTACCATTATTGTTCGCCGCTCGGTTAGCAGCAGTTCGCGCAAGCTCGCCGAGCGTGTTCGCGAGCGCTGTGCCGAGCCTCGAACAATCCCCGCGCGAAGCGGAGTGCGCTCTCAACGATAGTGTTGCCAGTCTGAAATAAAAAATACCAATTATTTTTCAAATCATAATAAACACGTAATAGTAAAATGGGACTGGCGGAAAGCCATATTACTTGGATGTCATCACATCTCACACCCATTTGTCTAGACGCCAACAAAACACTCGATACTTAAAACATAGATTATTATTAACTCTTCGTTATAATTTACGAAAGATATTGAGCTTCAAGAAACCTCATGACGTACATTTCAAAGCAACTATTGGACTATCCAAGGATGAACTGAACAGTTGGTGGAACCTGTCTTGAAGTCAGACTATTANAGCGATACAGGCGACCACCACGGAGCCGGAGTAGTATTGATTATATGAATGTGGTGTTACTCCAGATCTTCGATTTTCCTAGTTTTTATAGTTTTCCCTTTATGTGGTCATTAAACCCTAACTCTGTACCAAATTTCAGCTCTCTGAGTTTATGGGAAGTACTAGTTCTATTTTGATGATCATCAGTGAGTGAGTGAGTGTCGTAAATGCGAAACTTTGCTTTCGCTTAACTTCGGAACTAAATGACCTACAGACTTGAAATTTTGGATTTTAAGTATGTGATTATAGCTTACTAGATGACGAAAATTTCTGTGTTCTGGTCTTATCCAGAGGTTCTCAAATAGGGGCCTGAAAATGCGGCGAAATGGTTCCAGTAAAGGATGGTACGGCAGTGTTTGCTTCGCGCTCGACTTGGCGGGGGCACTGCCGTGCCCCCAGATAATCATCTTCAAGACGTGTAGTCTCCATTACAGGAGGACCAATAAATTTATCAGAGGCAAAAGGGACGAATTGGCCTAAGTACACTATTGTCTTATCACAAGGCCAAGCGTGTTGAGGAGGCCTGCCTGATGTTCGCATATTTCTCACTTGGGCTTGTTCCCATGGAGAGATCCCGTTTTTTGCAGGAACTGTCTTTTGCAGGGCCCCATTTAGTAGTAGGTAGGTTTTTTTTAAATATCTATCAACATTCAGACGAGCATCCCGTTTGCAGTGTCCCGCAAAGGGATGATGACTGGGTAATGAAATCGAAATTCTATTTGTCCGTCAGACAGATAATAAAAAAAAATTGTACACATATTTTTAAATTTTTTTCATAATCGAATAATTACAGTATTATATTGAGTTGAAAGGTCGCGTGACGTCACTTTTGAGTAAAAAAATCTACTCAAGCGTAACGTAACGCGCCATTTCAACTCGATGTAGCACTGTTAGTGCCTTTTCACACGTTCCGGTTGCCGGCTATCCGGCGCCGGGTACCCGGTGGTGAAGTGTATGGGCATGGTACGTAGCTTTCACATGTTCCGGCGTAATTAATCCGGCATGCCCATACATTCACGACCGGGTACCCGGCGCCGGATANTCTTAACACCTATCATTCCGTATATTCTTCCCGTGGACTGGTCAGCCTGGGGAGAGTGCGTACTTAGTCCAAGATTTGGACTCCAAAACCTCATTTTTATCCCTGGAAGTCGTGCTTCTGCAATGGAGACTAAATAAGATGATGATGACAGGTAGGCAAACGAAAGACATCAAGGTAAGCAATTAATAACTAGGCACTTACCTAAGTACCTAAGTAGCTAGGAACTTATACTTACTTCTAATTAAAATAGTAAGACACGGGTCTTAACGCGACGTTTATTAATGAGTTACATTAAAAGTCAAGTTATGACCCGTGTCTTACTATTTTAATTGAAATGGAACGCGAAAGTTTAAAATCGTAGGTACTTACTTCTATTCTATTCTAAAAAATATCTCCCATCTCCCACTGGATCCCAATCCTTACCAACATAAATATCCCAGCTGGCCCGCGTCCAGCCCACAAGTGGGATCGATTGACACGCTGGGCTAATTCAGTTTCAAGACTTTCAAGTGATTCTGTTTGGTTTTGTTTATAGAAATAACATTTGTTTTACATTAATTTGATACCTACTTGTAAACGGCGTAGTACTTAATGTGGAATTGTAGAATCAATTAGCTTTTACCATTGATGTTTTATTATATTTACATATTTGTTGATAGTTTCGGTTTTTTCGCCGAAGTCTAACGCCCCACCCGTAAGCAGCAAATCGAACGCACATAGCTCTCTGATTGGTTCGTCGTATCATGTCACCATGTGCGTCCACGCGTACTGTGAGACCTCATAGGAATGTTTGTGAATACGGGCGTAAGTAGGTACTAAGTACTCCAACGACAAAGACGTTTCAAGAACGTTACAGACAAAAGTTACAGTAGGTACGTCTTATGCAATACTAATATTATAAAGCTGAAGAGTTTGTTTGTTTGTTTGTTAACTGTAACTCACTATAATCAGTCGGATAAAAAGTTTCCCACCAAAATAACACTAAGAAATCAGCCTGTCTAGTGGCGGTGGCTGTGTCTGCTCATGCAGAAAAATCTTAATTACTGAATTGACAGGGCCGTACTTAGGAATTTACATTAATCGCCACCTAAAAGACCGACGTCCCCCCGTGCGTGACCCACGCACAACACTTAAGTAAGCTGGGCCTGGTACTTTAAGGTTAAAAATATGGAAATAAGGTTGTCTTGATATGGCGTCGTCCGTACAATTTAATATTGCATGCTCAGTACATGAGCAATCTGTTGTAACGAATTTTATGCCCAAACAACTGCAAACTGTACACAGAAAAAGCAGTAAATAAATTCTATTCTATTTAAAAAACATCAAGTCTGTAAAATTCAATACATAAACACCATTAAGGCGGCGCTGTGCAACATGAATTTGAGGGTGCAAATTCCTCAGCTACGGATACCTACGGATGAAGAAGACTGACATTGGGCGCACGTCTGACGCAAGGGTTGCGAGGCATCACAAAACAATTTCAGCCTACCGTCTCGTGACTTGGGCTTCTTTTAGTTTTTTACCACGGTGCCCAAACCGCCCAGGTTCAGTTATAGCTAATGCGCTGAATGTATACCCAGAACGCATATTAATTATTGACATAAGGACCCGCAACAATTTTCAGAAGACTAAGAGGAATTTTAAGTAAACTGCAGTAACAAGAAGTGAATTGCATCTTGGCCCCTACATTTCGCAGAGGAGTTCGTTTCGATTAGAGAAACAAAAAGTGAATAAATGGCCCCCAGATTCCACCCTAACTACGGCCCTGCCTCCATCTGCGTTTTGTCAGCCGATAGAGGCTGTCCCATAAACTAACCCCATAAAATATAGACGTGCTAACACCGCAATTAACTTGCGTAGATTACGGCGTATGTAAGCCCATGTTTTTATCCATGGAAACGTTTTGTAACGATGTTTATTGAAAATCTAGGCTGTTTTGATAGTAAAGAGGGTTTCAATGTTAGCATGGCAATATCTTTTTAAAAGCCACGATAGCCAAACGGTGAAAGGGTCGGACTGGCCGACTCGAGATCCGAGGAACGCGGGTTCGAATCCCACCGCCGCTCGACTATTGTAGTGAGCCCACTCGTAACACAAGCTTATTTAGCTTAACACGAGGGGCTAACGGGACTATTAGTAATTTGGGCAATCACATTGCTAATAATCTTTAAAAAAACCAATTAAAAATGGTTTTTATTTCTGCTCAACCCAAAGGTCAACTGGTCGAGAATGCTTTAGTGCATTAAGTTCGCCTTATGTACAAATTTATTTTGGCATTAAAGTTTAAATAAATAAATAAATATGATGAGATTTGTATTTTGGTTCTGGCACAGGACTATTCCCACATCTCGTTCCCACCGCTGCAACTCCTGTGTAGCCAGGATCTACAGCTTGACCGACCGCCAATAAAACCCAACCAGTGAAGGTCAAGTTTGTCCTAGAAAAAAGTTCTGTCACTGGACTAAGTAGGTACACTCTTCTCGCGACTAGTCTGGCGAGCGTGGGGAGTGTAGACCAAATCTTCCATTTGGTAAAGTAACATAGAGGATCATGATGTCATGATGTATGGTACACTATAAAATGACTTCATGATGAAAATATTTTTTGGCAGACGTATTTATTTTATTTTATTTATTTTATTGTTAGGAAAACAAACAGCATTCTATAACACATATAGAGTTACCAATTAAACTTCACATTTGCCAAAATAAACAAACAAACCCCATAATGGCTGTTATTATAATTTTAAAAGCCTGTCTAGACCGAATTGAAATGTTTAAAAACCGAGTAGTTAACCAACATTGATTGATATTTTAGCGCGCTTTTCTGCAGCCATATTTACGACCTGTCAAACGTGACGAACGTCGGTCGGTGTCTTGAGGTGTGTTTATTTTTCCAATTTTACGGCAGACATAACAAATTGGATTTAAACGTCGGGCGACCCAGGAGGCTGTCTGTTATTTCGAAAAACTAAGGAATTGAGATGGACAGACGACCTCATAAAGGTTGCAGGAAGGCACTGCATGCAGGCCGACGCCACACGTTCAGCTGTGGACCTTCTGTGGCCGATATGATTATGATGATTTAAAAGGAATTAAAAACTTTAAATTTTTCAAGCAATTGTTTTTGCAGGCAGCCTAGGTCTCTGTATAACCTAAATAGGTAGTTACAAGCAAAATTAAGACGAATTAAAAACGGTGATTTAGATGGAAGAGCAGTCCCGGCAGCGAAAGGTCGTGGGTTCATTTGCTGCCTCAGGCACTTCGATTTTTATAAGTATAAGTAACTAGCTTTCCGCCCGCGGCTTCGTCCGCGTGCAATTTTGTCTGTCACAGAAAAACTTTATCGCGCGCGTTTTCATCAAAATTGCTTCAGTGGTTTAGGCGTGAAAGCAAGACAGACAGACAGACAGAGTTACTTTCGCATAATTTATAATATCAGTATAGATTTACAATTTAGTTATTTTTGTTTTATTGTAACCACGACAGATGCGAGTAGGTTAGACACATCACAGTACACCTTTTCTTTCGCCTTTTCTTCAGACGACAAGCTATGGTCGCAATTTCGCAAATTATGCAGCTTATTTTTCCAAAATGCCAAGTCCATACGTCAGAAAAAAGGTCTTTTTAAAAAGGAAAATAGCCTAAAATGGCGCCCATTTGTCCACCACTGTCCGAATAGTTGGTGACCCATCTTTCCAAACTGTGTTCCGTCACAAAATAGAAATTTATATTTTGTGGTGCCATCGACGTTTTAATTGTTTCACGGCTGTAATTACCGTCTGCATTTTTGTTTACGTTGGCTTAAAATAGATTTCACGAGGAAAAAATAACACACAGAGGCTGTAGAAAAGGATTTTCTTTAGTTTTTAAAGAGCAGAAAGTACTTTTTGTATGTTAGGTATTATGTGTCTCGTTTTAAACTTATTGAAAAAATAAGACACCTAACATTACATACTGACAAAGTTATGATGGTTTACTGCCTAGTTAATTTAAATTATAATTGACGGGATTGCCACCATGTACCTACCTATCCGATATTTCCGCACTGCCATATGCTATGGTCACGGAGTAACTAACTGTCCGCGGTTATAGTTAAATTACTATTTAAAAACAGTGTCTAGTGGACAGTGGTTTGTCCCACCAACAAAGAAATGAAAAGTAGGTAACCATAATATCCACAAGATTCAGTCATTTTGGGATTCCTGAAAGACAGGGAACAAGATAGAAGAATAGCGAATAGTGCAAATTTCCCTCCAGCTCATACAGTTTTACATTACACAAAAACACCTCCATGACTCATTCATAAATAAACAATCATGGCTCCTCCCGCCAATTCACGAAAATAAAAAAATAATAAAACCCCGCGAAATTAGCAGCATCATATTTATTGACGCACTCGAAGACTCGAACTGACCAATACAAAACGCCCCTTCGATAATCTAAAAATAACGCCGTCGTGGTGTCTGATCATGATACTCCAGTAGCCTGGAGTCCTCCATTGAGCTTTGACAGCTGATAATTTTCCCGCGCTTTTACACGTCAGCCATTTTTACTTTTTCTTTTCTCGTGCATAGACAAAGAAGGTGGTGTTGCGTGAAACTTTTTTGAAAAATTTAAAATGGCGCCACAAATAATGCGATTTTACGTGTTAATTTTATTAATTTCTTTGTGTGTGGAGAGTAAAGGGAAATCAAATGAAAACGAAGATTCGAAGGAGTCGGTCGAGAAGGTGCCGGAGTTAAAACAATACAAGGTACCTACATAATTTAAATTATTATGTATTTAAAAATTACATTCTGACCTAATTATAATATTACTATAGTAAATTATTGTATTAATAGGTAAACTCCAACAGCGCTAATAAATCGTTACTTTATCTTTTTTAATTAATTAACATTTCAAATATTTTATTAATTTTTTTCGCATATATTTTTTAAAAATAATTTGTCTGTATCGTTAAACTAATTAACGATGGGGCAAAGGACATTTGAAAAGTTTGGGAAACGGTGGCAAATAGTCACTTGACATTAATTCACGTGATTTATAATAGAGATGAAACGGATATCCGGTAACTATCCGGTAGGCCGGATATCCGGCCTATATTTACTATCCGGCCGGATACCGGATAGTAACTCACTATCCGGCCGGATACCGGATATAAAAAAAACTACGACAATTTCCTATTAACAAAATGAAATACATTAATCTTTGAGGTAAATATCAATAAAATGGCTTATAATAATGACGGCTTTTATTTAAAGTCCAAAAAGTTACAAAAAAGCCATATAAGGCCTTAGGACTTTAAAAAAACTAATTACTATTTCTGGGCTATTCACTCTAATGACGAATACATAAATAGTAAACATCTGTTAATGTCGAAATATTGCCAAATAAAAAAGGTGATCTTTTTTCACTGATGGTCTGGTGACATGATGCATGCAGTTCAGTCAGATTACGCAGCAAGTAAACTAGGTTATTTAATTTTCGCTATTTAATCACACACTCACGATAGCAACCGAAATCACCCGAATTGATCTGCCCCCTAGACAAGTGGCAAAATCTGACATTATAATATTCGGACGGATTCGATTTTTGAAAAGTGTGACTAGTCTACTAATATAGTTCCAAAATACTGAACTGTCCTACCCCTGACATTGACAGTGGGGCGCCACCGTCAATACCGGATCGCTGGTTCTGATTTTTGCCATGTCGGAAACCATATAGTTGAACGATGGTAGCGCCCCCCTGTCATTGAGTTTGGTGGGACAGTTCAGCGTGGGTCATCTNTATTAGTTATTTTTGTCAGTTCGTAGCAAGGTCTTTTCTATGGGATCCTTAAAATTACGAACTCCTCCTATGTTCTTCTGATTAATTTCGTTGCGGGTCCAATGTCAGTTTAACTTTCCCCGGGACAAACTTCACCTTCACTGGTTGGGTTTTTGGCGGTCAGGCTGTAGATCCTGGCTACACAGGAGTTGCGGCGGTGGAAACGAGAGGGGGAATAGTATTTTCGTAGATATATCGTAAAGAAATTCACTTTTTAGAGGTACGAGTACCAAATATGTAATTCTTTATCAGAAACTTATCAAGCATGCACATTCATGGATTATACAGGCTGTTAGGTAAATGGGTATATGAGCCAACACTAGCCCATGGGCATATAAATGGTATGGTGAAGTCAGAAAATTGATATCTTCATTTTAATTATTTTAATTTTCATACAAACCGGATTTTATAAAATTTATTTTGTATGAAAATTAAAAAAAATAAAATGATGATATCTCTGACTTCACCATACCATTTTACATGCCCATGTTAACATGGGCTAGTGTCACAATAGTCTAATGGTTTTATTACATCATCGCATGTCCAGAAATGCTAGTTCAATCCCCGTCCATCGCTCGACCATTTAATTTTAATTAAAAAACTTAGGGAGAGGTTAAAAACATGACTCTTTGAAAAAAACTCACACACGTTAACATACAAAACTAAACAAAAACCTTTTTCCATCAAAAAATTTCTTTCTTTCTTTCAAGAGCTGGGTTCAATACCTAACCTAGTTATCATTGCTTTACTTTTTCCTCAGCCTATTATTTTAGAATCGTACTAGTCTAAACAGTAGTGACTATAAAAATATAGGTGACCTACTGTTGAGTTTATCTACTAGTTTATAGTCATACAGTAGGTCGAAAGATAAACAAGTTAAGTTGTAAACAGGCAAACAGCTGGATAATAAATGTAACGGTGAATGCATTTAACTATTTCGGACTCTAGATCAAAGGACACAGCTTAACTATCCATAAACGTGACAACAATGTAAGATTTACCTGACAAATAATGTGGTTAACATTGTAACTTCACTCCGATGCGATAGCAGATTCCCTCGTCGTAAAATACAGCCAGGCTCTTCCCGCGATCTTTTCCAGATCGTCGGTCCACCTAGTAGGAGGCCTGCCCACGCTACGTCTTCCAGCCCGTGGTCGCCACTCGAGAACTTTCCTGCCCCAACGGCCATCGTCTCTACGAGCTATGTGCCCCGCCCACTGCCACTTGATTTTAGTCGCGGGAAGAGCCTGGATGCGGGCAGCGCAGGACCGTTCATTGTGGAAAACCTTGGGGGAGGCCTTTGTCCAGCAGTGGACGTCATTTGGCTGAAACGACGAACGACGAAAATACAGCCAAACGTTGAACGTGTAGCATCTGCCGGCGACTCCAGTTGCATATGTCGGAATAAGAAAGCATGCCAATGAAGTAGCTGGCGATGAAACCAGACATGATTTTAATACAAAAAATGGAACAACTAAACATTTGAATTTGATCCTTTGGTTTAAACAACAGTTTGTGGAATACCTCGAAATCCTATTACTCATGCTGCTGTACTGGTGTGAGGTCTGTACCTCTTTGCGTAGGTATTCGATAAAATTCGATACCCAGCCTTCGAAATCAACGATAACGTGACGATTTACGTCAAGTCTTACGTGCTAGAGGTACTGGAGCAGCTTACGTGGAACTTTGGCGAATGAGCAAACAAAAATCCCCATGCGCTATGATTCAAATTCAAACTGATCGTATCGCTTATAATGAAGAAGAAGTGAATCGCTGTGTCGTATGCAATGCTCCAGCCCGGGAAATGCTTGTTTATGCATTCCCACTGACACTGACTAATGGGCACAACAAGTGGGTTATGAGGGACACCACCCTCCGTCATCCTAGTTTAAACAAGGAATGCCTTAAGAAAATTGTTTTAGTAATCGCTTTTTGGAATTTGCCTGAACCTGTGAATGCCTGCTATGAAAAAATGGTAGGGACACTGACCTCAAGTGACAGCTGATTCTGTGTGCCAATTTGACGCTTCCGTGTCCCGAGAACTATTTTGACATTATGGAGTAACCATAGGAGTAAGCAAGAAAGAAAATCACTAATTTTAGTTCCATGGAATCTGTGGCCTACAGTGCCAAAATGGCGAAAATCAAATAGGCACAAAAATATTATCACCAGCAGTCCAGTCCAGCAGAGGTCAATTGGGTAGGGATAACACCTGCAAGCAAACCGTTTGCTCTTTTAGATACTAAAATAAAAACTGACTTTAAACAACGATTTTCGTTGCATCTCACCTCTCTTAAGTACGCGTGTGCCGACGGCATTGAGCTATTCCAGAATTTATTAAAACATAAGAATAACCGCGAATTGCCGTTAAAAATAAAATGGCGGAATAAATTTTGACGTGCGCGCCTTTACGGCCGCATCGGACGTTTTAATAGCGAAACTAATTTCGAAGCTACAATACAGGTAGAGAACGTAGGTTCTTTTATAATATACTAGCGGCCGCCCGCGACTTCGTACTCGTGGATCCCGTTTTACCCCCTTAGGGGTGGAGTTTCGTAAAATCCTATCTTAGCGGATGCATACGTCATAACATGTACTTGCATGCCAAAAGACAATGCCGGAAATTGGCGTCTTTTTTGTTTCGCGCGGCCATCGACCAAACCTTGTTTTTTGATTACAAAATAGTGTAATAAACCAAACTTACTATGACATGTATACCTCTAAACTCAGTCTGAAGTGAGTTACGAGCATTAGAAGTTTGATGATTTTCATACTAGATTTGCTTTTTGCGCGCAAGTTTTGTAAGAAATTGCAACAAAATAGTGACATTGTATGTGTAAACAAACAATACCATCCATTAAAGGCTCCAGACATCAGTATGCAGCAGAATCAGCGCAATAAAAAAATTGCGCAATATTTTGTTGCAATTTCTTACAAAACTTGCGCGCAAAAAGCAAATATAGTATGAAAATCATCAAACTTCTAATGCTCGTAACTCAGTTCAGACTGAGTTTAGAGGTATACATGCAATAATAAGTTTGGTTTATTACACTATTTTGTAATCAAAAAATAAAGTGTGGTCGATGGCCGCGCGAAAAAAAAAAGACGCCACCTTCCATACAAAATCTGGCATTGCCATTTCGGCCCGATCCGTCCAGTGGTTTGGGCTATGCGTTGATAGATCACTATTTAGATATTGTATCAGCCAAATGACGTCCACTGCTGGACAAAGGCCTCCCCCAAGGATTTCCATAACGACCGGTCTTGCGCTTCCCGCATCTAAACCCTTACCGCGACCTTCACCAGATCGTCGGTCCACCTAAAGATCTGCCCACGCTAATCTTCCAGCCCGTGGTGGCCACTCAAGAACTTTTCTGTCCCGATGGCTATCAGCTCTACGAGCTATGTGCCCCACGCACTGACGCTAAACTCTTAAGTTTGGTACTTCTACGGGCATTTTGATGTTGGTTTTGTTATCCCTGTTTTTTTGTTTTGATACATAGGTATCGCGTCGCTTTGATAAATAAATTAGGCAAAAGTACTGCATACGCAGTATTAAGATTTTGCTTGTCGTATTGCGAATTTTGAATCAAGATGGATTAGCAAGCTGAAGTGGCAACGGGCAGGGCACATAGTGCGCAGAACTGACGGCCGATGGGGCAGCAAGGTTCTGGAGTGAAGGCGCGTACCGGAAAACGCAGCGTGAGACGTCCATCCATAAAAGGTGGCCCGACGACATCATAAAGGTAGCAGGAAAGCGCTGGACGCAAGCCGCTACCAACCGGGTAACATGGAAAGCATTGAGGGAGGCCTATGTTCATCAGTGGACGTCCTATGGCTGAGATGATGATGATGATTGCGAATTTTGACACCAGCTGTCTTCTAATAAAGAGCCTACTGTCCATATCTACTCACAAACAACACATA